AGAACATACTTGCAACATAAATTTAACAGATTCTATGAATTCATGCGGATAACCAACATCATGTTCATAATCAACTATGGGTGAAGCTTCAAATACATTCAAGTTTACATTCAAACTAGCATGCAAACCAGCACAGCATACTACCACTTCAAAAACATTCGGCATAATATTCAGCAGAAAATAGCACAACACATCACAGCATACTACCGCATAAAACACACGCACACACTAGCATACAAATCAGCAGAGAAAAACACATATATATAAATCTTTGCAAAAGTTTTAGAATCTAGAGTGAGCACCCCATGTGCCCCACCACCCACATATTGTCAGACTCATCAGAAGACCATTTAAACAATAATAATTGCGTGTTCATCACAAGACTTCGCAACAACATCACATCTGTTTCAATCTCAAACCTCTTTCACTACCGCAAGTACCATGCCCAAACGGCCGTTCATGAACTTGTTGATATATAACCATGCTTTGTTAACCTAAATGCGATGTAAGTGGCACAGCAATCCAAACTTGGGACGAAATGGAGTGAAAAAGATTTGTGCGGTGCGCCTTGTTGGCGCTAGTCTTCTCAAGTTTTTGGAAGGCTTCTGTTATCGCACTGAGCGTCAAGCTTTTGAAGGCTCACTGGCATGAACGCTCTATTGAAGCAATGTCCTATTCTATTCCTACTTGACACCCTGAAACCTTGCCACCTACACACCTTGTCAATGATAAATAACAAAAGCATCTGCTAGGAGCACTGTTTTACAAGTCGCCCTCCTGGTGGCGAAGCAAGTACTGGTTTGCAAGTCGCCATCCTGGTGGCGAAGCAAGTACTGGTTTGCAAGTCGCCCTGGTGGCGAAGCATGCAGGTCGCCCTGTTGGCGTAAATCATGGAAACCAAAACCCTCCACTCTTCTCAGTCTCCTTGCCACGGGGCTCAGCGGATCGGGATATATAACCTTCTCGACCGGTACCCCACTCTTCTCAGTCTCCTTGCCAAGGTGCTCGGACCGGGGGAGGAAGGGCGTTCCACTCTTCTCAGTCTCCTTGCCAAGGTGCTCGGACCGGGGGAGGAAGGGCGCTCCACTCTTCTCAGTCTCCTTGCCAAGGTGCTCGGACCGGGGGAGGAAGGGCGCTCCACTCTTCTCAGTCTCCTTGCCACGGGGCTCGGCGGAGCGGCCGATGATGATGTCGTTGCAGCTCACGCACAATGCAAGGTTGAGGCAAGCGAACACAGCGGATTTGAGCGCCATGGCAACGTCGACACCCCTGAGCTGAAAAGGCGTCCTGAGTGGCTTGAGAAAAACTGGCACAAAGAACTACGGGATGATCTCACATAAAGATGCTGAAGAGTGACACAGAAAGCTACCGAAGGTCAAGTCGACAATGAAAATGACCGGACTGGGCCAATGTTTGCCAGCACATGCAACACTAGGACCCTGCACACAGAAGACTCCTGATCTCCTTCAAACAT